TCCAGTAGCAAATAAACATCATTTGGCTCCAAAAGGCAACTCCCAGATCACTAGCCCAGTCTCAGCACTGCTACTCACCGAGCTGTTCAAGCATCTTATCACATTCATCCAAGATAAAGTGTTTAATGTGTTTGAGGTTGAGGCTCTTATTTCGAGCCAGGGCTAGGATGCGGCCAGGGGTCCCCACGACGATATGCGGGCAGTTCTTCTTCAGTACCTCTTCATCCTTCTTGATAGACAGACCACCAAAAAACACTGCGACCTGCCAACCCAGAGAAAAAGAGCATCTCACAAGGAAGAATTCAACCTCCCCAACATTCCCATCCTTTCAGTTTGCTCTAAACCAATTTTTAGAATATTTCAGACTAAAGGGAACGTAAGTCTACTTTAAAATTATCATACTCTCCAAACACTGAAGCTAAGAAACAAAAGTGACTTCTCCTGTTATATGGCTGATCAGGACAGTCAGGACTAGCATTTACTTCTTCTGACTTAATCTAACAGTCTTCCTCCCCAAGACTCTTAAGGGTGGGCGTCATTGTGAAAATTGGGGGCGGGTGCATGCTGCAGTGTGATGGGGGAGCTAGGGGCAGGGAGATAGCTTAGCCTGCACGAGGTCCTGGGTTCAATCCCCAGTACCTCCTTTTGAAAAAAGTGAGAGAGAGAACAGTAAGAAATCACGAAAGTGTCAAGTACCACAAAAAACTCATGGACATCAGGTGTTTCTAACCAACTCCAGAGTTTTAAACTCCTTTGCATAAATCCTAGGAAATTACTGATTCAGGCTAAACATACCACGCCACGTTAAAATCATTAGGGGAATAGTTGCTGAGGATCTGGGCTTTAATACAGTATTAAAAAGCATCAAAAACTGCTTTCTAGTTCAAGGGGGGTTAAGATCAATCAAGGGTTCAGACCGTCATGACCCTAACTCTAGGCTAAGTCTAAAACCACTAATTGTGGGACAAGCAGTTATGCATCAAAACAAGAGGTACACGGCATCATTTATGAAGAATTCTCGCCAAAAATGTTTAACCTGAATGAGTTAAGCTTTCAAATATAAATCTCAGTTCACAAGAAATACTAGGAAGGAAGAACAAGTTAAAACACAAGGGAATAACCAGACAAACCCAGAGACAGGACATTCTGTAGAACTAGCCCAACCACTTCAACAAATCATTGAAGCATAATTTTGAGCAAAATAAAGAAAACTTAAAGACGATGTCATGATAATTTGTATTTGATCTTGACACCAAGAACATCCTCTTTTGAGTCCACAAGGGTGATGAGTTAGACCTATAGAGGAAGTGCAATCCTAGCTCTCTAATGAGCTCAACAATAAATTTTTCCAGTCTTAACAGTGGAAACTGTTTCCCGGTTATTAACTTTTAGAATCAACCTACAATCAAGACTGCTTGCAGGGGGAGGGTATAGCTCAGTGGTAGAGTGTGTGCTTAGCATGCACAAGGTCCTGGGTTCAATCCCCAGTAACTCCAGAAAAAAAATATTAAATAAACCTAATTACACCCCCCCCAGAGACTGCTTGCTAAAAGGACAGAAAGTAAATGCTAATGAAATTGACAACGTGAGAATACAGGCACATATATACAGACTGTATTTAGAGAATTTCAATTAATACAGTTTTCAAATTCTGAGAGAAAGAACAGTGTAAACAAGCTAAATAATTTTGTGAAAAAAGTAAAAAAGGCCTGTAAGTTGACAAACTGAAAAAACAGTGCCAAATACTTGGTTTCACAAAACTATCAGAACTTAAAAAAAAAAAAAGGTTAACTAGCAGTACTCTGAAGTACAATTAGATAGAAGAATACAAATCTTTTCATTATAAGGCCCTATGGATTATTTAAGCATTTTTATCATGCACAGGAACTACCATTACTACATTAAGGCTACTACTCAAATGTTCCTAGTCTTAAATATAAAGTAATAATCAATTGAGGAGAAAATTCTAAAAATCCGAACAGAAATACAGTTTTTTCACCCCAGGAGAGCAGAAGTTATATACATGGGTGCTTCTCGAACTCTAGTTACCTGAAAATCTTAGAATACATACTCAGTAGGTCTGTGGTGGGACCCATGAAATCTGCATTTCCAGTAGGCTGCCAAATGACACTGAAACTACGGGTCTGGGAACCACACATTGACTATCTAGGTTATACAATGCACAGGCGTATTTATACAATGTGTTAGAAACCAGTGCAAACTAAAGCTTCTCCAAAATTAAGAATGTAACAAACGTCTCTGAAATTATAACGCATATGCAAATGAGCCCTAAAACATAAATCTCTTATACACCAAAGTTGCAAGATACATGTAACTGAGATTTGTGTACGGGTATTTAACACATGTGGGACATGAAGACCGCTGATCTAACAAGTCTCCAATGCCTCCAACTCCCCACACCCTCACTCTCCCAGAATATTCCCCCTGGCTCACCTTGACGTTGGGCATGTATTTAGAGAAGCGCTCATACTCCTTGCTGATCTGGAAAGCCAACTCCCGAGTGTGACACATCACCAGTACAGACACCTAGGGGGAAGGGGAAGAGTAGATGGAGACACACACATACCGTATCCCTTCACCAGCTGTGCCACAAAAACACACCTGGCAGATCACAAGTGACTACAATTCTGAGATCTAGATCATTAACCCCATGTGCCCTATAGCTGTCAATCAAGGATGATAAACTTCATCTTAGCAACAAGCCCTCATGGCTCTGAATGCACCACATAGCTGAGACAAAAACATCCTTCCCGAACATTACTAACCAAAATCCCTTCCCCAACACTCTCCCCAAGTGTACCTGCCCAGTAACTGGCTCCAGTTGTTGCAGTGTGGCCAGCACAAACACTGCTGTCTTTCCCATGCCTGACTTGGCCTGGCATAGGACATCCATTCCCAGGATGGCCTGAGGGATGCATTCATGCTGAACTAGAAGCAGGGGGAAAAAAAGTTGAATTAGACTTCACTCTACCACCTTTTCCACCATGCCAAACCCATTTCTCATCACTCAGTTCTTAAGTGGTTCTTGTCAATTTCCAGATCTTTTCTACCTCTCTGCTTCCTCAAAGTGATCTCCAAATCAAACCTCCCCAGTTCCTTCTAGCTTTAGCCTCCTCCAGCTCCACATCCCTAGTCCTGCTAACCCTCTTGCACCTATCAACTGCTCACCCTAGGTGCTCCTGTCTGAATGTTCCTTAATCTAGAACAATCCATGACTTCTGAATGCCTGTCACAGGCCATTTCTCCTACTTAGGTTGTCAGGCTTTGGGTCACATAACTCTGCAACTTTGGACAAAATGAAGGACTTCGATCCTGATCTAGAAACCAGCCATCTCTGAACCATCCATAAAGGTTTCCAGAGACCAGAGTTGGCCAGCTCCAACCAGCTCCTCTCTAGCAATTTTAAATTAAAAATCAAAGTGACAAAAATTAAAAACAAGCAGACAAGGAGAAAGGCAGACTTTAAGCTGCTTTTAGATTAGTACTTACTCGCTCTCATGAATGAAAAAACCTATATAAACCTCTTCAATTGCTAAAACAGTTTTTGGTAGTTATTTCGTCTATCCTAAATATAATCTGCATCACCTGAGAAACCACAACCATATCTATTTCTTGTATCCTTAAAGAGCAGTGCCTAACTCTGTCCAACAGAAAATTTACCTTCTGATGGATGCTCAAAGCCACAGTCAACAATGGCCCGGAGCAACTCTGGCTTGAGCAGGAAGTCGCGAAAGCCAGAGCTGTGAATGGAGACGTAGGAGCCCTTGACATCCTTCTTGGCAGGGGCCTCAGCCCCATCTCCCCCAGCTGCTGTTTCCACCTCATCGTCTTCATAGTCTAAGAGCTCATTGTCCACATCGTTCTCTGCCATAACTGAGCCGGCAGGGGGAGAAGGGGAGGGGTCTTTGGATAGGTTCACG